GTTTTTATTAATGGCGACTATAAACGTACCACGACGTAAGTTGGCCCTTGTAATTGGCATTGGCAAATATGACCATTGTGAAGAATTAAAAAATCCAGAAAATGATGCCAATGATATGTCATCTACTCTAGAGAGTATTGGCTTTATTGTCACAAAGAAATTAGGTCTAAAACGTGCTGAAATGAAACATGTTATTATTGATTTTGAAGAATCAATACAGTCCGATGATATGGTTTTATTTTATTTTGCTGGACATGGGATCCAATGGGAAGTATGTATTAAGCTTTTACCATTAAACAATTTATTCCAATTTTCTATAACTGTTTTATGTATGCTACTTTTAGGATCAAAATTATTTGATCCCAGCAGACACTCCAACTTTGAATGGTGCAGATTTAAACAAGTGTGCGATCAATGCACAAGACATTCTTAATAATTTAAGTGATTGCAAACCATACGTAACAATATTCCTGTTAGATTGCTGTAGAAACTATCATTTACGTAATCGTGAACTAGATGCACGCGATGCAGATGCAAATGACCCAAAATCAATAGGTCTCAAAGCTATGCACAAAGCTGGTTCATTGATTGCATTTGCTTGTGCACCTGGGACTATAGCCATTGACGGAAGAGAAGAGAAAAATGGTTTATTTACAAAGCATCTTTTAAAACATATTTTCACTCCGAATGAAGACATCCAAATGATACTACGCGATGTTACCAAAGGAGTAAAACAAGAATCAAAATCAAAACAAATTCCATTTGTGAGTGCTTCATTATCAGAGAGGGAAATATATTTATGTTATCAACCAACGAATCAACCACGTGAACCAGGTAAATATGCTAGTAAATTCTACTTCTCTTGTTTAAGTGAACCAAAAGAGTGCAATAAGAAGTTTGCCATTGAAATATCTTTGTTTCTAACTATTTAGAAAATAACACATGAGACATTGTTAACATTTAAGTTGTTTCTCGACGTAACCTGGGTCAAGTGTTATAACTAACATCATCGAAATAAACAGAAAACTTGGATTCCTCCCCAGTCTCAGTCTTAATAATCCTCACAACTTTTTTAGCTCGACATAACTATTTCTTAATTACGAGGGACACTCTCCAGATGTTTCATCACTTTCGAGTCCATACATTGGACACATAGAGATTCATTGACATAGTCTGACCCTGAAAACGATATCTGTGCATAACCCTCTGGGTAAACCAGATCGTATTTCTAAATCACATTTGGTTGAAATGAAATTTTTATCAGATGAAGCCGGTATTCGATTTAGACTACGGCAAATGTTAAGACATTGTCGCTAATTAACTTGCGAATATGTTAGATTTAGAGTAACTAGTCGGAAATTTGACGCACTCTAAGAATACTAACAAAAGAATCAAGTTCCAAATGAGTTGACATTTTTATTGAATTTAGCTTTGACAATTTCGAGAAAAGCAATAACATTCCTAACAATGGAGGTGTGTGTATTGTTGAGCGAAAAAGTGGCACATGTTCGGGTAAAATGAAAGCCCTCAACGCCAAACTAACAAGGTTAAAATATTAGCTGCCATTGGCTTGTCTAGAGGGAGATATTTAACTTTTAAGTGTAGGTGTAAAAGTGAATCAAGAAAGGTTTTCTCCACTATTATAAGGACAAAACATAGTGTTGTTCGGGGCGATTAGGGGGTTTGTAGGGACCCTCTC